GGGGGGGGGGGGGGGGGGCTGAAATCCTCATTTCGAACGCGTACCCCTGGTGTTGGGATCACACTTTGAGACACTGTGCTGGTGCCTGGTTCCTCATGCACAGCCCAGGATATATGAGCCAGCTGGAGACCTTTAAGAGACAGGGTGGACCAGCTTTCCACAAACTAAATCCCAGACCTTTCATTAAATCCTAATCCCTTCATTTTCAGACTTTTTATTTAATTTTTTTCAGATGTTTTATTTTTAAAAGAAACCTTTTTTTCCCAAATGAAATCTTACTCAGAACCCATTCTATAAACTGAATCAAAGCTCTGGGTGATGTGATCATGGGGTACAAAGCTGAGGTTCTCCATGTAGATCTCACCCTTTGCAAGGACCCTTGAGACCCCCATCCTACAGAGCCACGGGGCTCGGTGAGACAGTCCTCCAAGCATGGGCGAGATGCCCTGTCTGTCCCTAGCTTGGGCAGCTGGCATTATTGCCTCCTAGTGCTCACACACAGTGGGTGGTCAGTAAATAGGTATTGAATTAGTGAGCGTAACAGTTCTCGGGCACCTAGTAGCTTCTGCTTTGGAGGCATCAGGAAGGCCTAAATATTAAACTGTTCAACCTCTTTTCATCAGCACCATGCTGCTAGTTTCATTCCTGTTTAAATGCTTTTCACTCCATGTACCCATAGAAAGTTTCTGGCAAAATCAAAAGTGAGGCAGCTGATGAATTGACATCATTTCTTTATGCAGGAAACTAGATGTTACAAAAATAAACTCTTTTGTGTTTTACTCTGAGCTGCCTTAAATCCACGTGGAGAGTAGCTAGGGAGTAAATAATGAATTACACATACTAAGTAAAGTGATAAACAAATCAAAATATATCCACTTCCAGCTAAATGACCTGGCAAAGGGTGAGAAGGTAGCTCTCATGGCAAAGAACACTGCCCTCTTGTGGCTAAAGTGGGAGGGTCACAGAACATTATGTCTTGTTACATGGTTATTTTTCTTCTATTGTGAATAAAGAAAAAGTGCTGAAAGAGAGAAGACTGAGAAAGCAAACTCACACATCTTCCCCAGAGTTTGACATGAAAGATTATTAATTTGATCTTTGTGGCAGACACAGCAACCTTAGGTGGAGACTGAGCTGTAAGGAGGCAGTTGAGGTCAGGCACTCTTAATGCCAAATTAAGAGTTGTTGCGAAGAAAGGGTTAATTGATGAGTAGTAAAAAAAGGTAGCAAACTCTCTCAGACATTTAGTTTTCAAAAGCCTTTTTTTAAAAAAGAATTGCTTGTTAGTTGGTAAAGTTGCATGCATTCAGTTTATTAATAAAGTTATATTTTTATGATAAATTGCTCATATATGCTTTGTGCTTGTCTAGGCCCATTTCTATGGCCATTTCCTCACCTTGGTGATAAGGTACCTGAAACTGCAGGTCAGAATTTATTTTGGGGGGCCGGCCCGGTGGCGCACTGGATAGTGCGCCGCTTGGGAAGCGCGGCGGCACTCCCGCCCGAGGGTTCGGATCCCACATACAGACCGGTTCCCGCTCACTGGTTGAGCGAGGCGCGGGAGCAACACCAAGGGTTGCGATCCCGTTGCCGGTCCCCGGTCCGGTACGGGGGCAACACTAAGGGTTGCAATCCATTGCCGGACACGGAAAAAGACAAAAGACAAAAAAAAAAAAAAAAGAATTTATTTTGGGGAGTTATATTTTAAAGGTTAATAAACTTCTGTTAAGGGTCAAATCTGTAAAATTAAGGACCTAAGTTATAGAGGATGTCATGCCTGGGGATTGTTTGTGGTAGGTGAGTAAATGAGGACTATAACCCCCCTTATTACCTGAGGCCTTGAGTTGTTTCTGCTGGAATTGAAGAAGGGCCCAGTAAATAGCATTTCTCATCCTGCCTGAGGAGAAGCAATATAGAAAGATAAAGGAGTCAGAATTTGGAGATTAAAAATACCACCTTTATTACTATTAAGGCAGATATTGGAGAATGTGGGTTATGTCTGTGGGCAAACAGTTTTCTAATAGTGGACTTTGGAATCAGGCTTCCCTAGTGACACCTGGTGCAAAGAACTGCAGGCTCCTTTTTGTGGAAGGTGCACAGCAGAGTGCATGTTCTCTGCCTGCAGGGTTGCTGCAGAGAGAAAGGGTTGGGGGGCAAGCCAGAGGTCACCTCACTTTCTTGGCTCACAGCATGCTTAATATCTCAGAACACTTTTTACAGTGTCCCGAGGTTGAAAGAAATTCCTAACAATTCTATTAGGTAGGTTAGGTCTAAACAACTTAAATAGTATCAGTAAGCTGGGTGTCTTGCAAGTGTCACCGTGTTTCCCCTGAAAATATCCACAGAGTCCTCGTGAGTTCGTATGGCACTCCAGGGTACCGTGACACATAGTTTAGGAAATACAGTCTCCTTCAGAACTCAACAATAAAATTAAGTCATTGGAAAGTAAAGAAGCAGCAGAAGCATTACCCGGGTGGGGCCCCTCCACGTGGAAGGAAGCTTTCGTGGAGGGAAGAGGCACACTCACCTCCCCACCCCCACAGTTACCAAAGCATCTGGTGTCAGCTCAGAGCAATCCTAGAGCTGATGTGACTCCCTAACCTAGGTGACTGGACACATGTATTAAGTGTGTTCTTAGTAGTTAGGCCTCCCAGTGTTCTTAGTGCACATAAGTCTTTGCAAGGGAAATGGAAAGTGAGGTGCTGACCCATGGGCACACGCAGGATGTCGTCCCACAGCTGCCTTTTCAATTCTGCGTACCCTGACACCGAACATCATGAAGGCCAAGAATAAACCTATTTTCATTTGACTAAGTTAGATGCAGACTGTCAGTTCTATAGAGCCTCTGAGCACACTATTTTTTCTTTGCCTGTAGCCCTAAATGGAAGCATAATCTGTGGTTAGAAAAATGAACAGCTGGGCCTTTCATGTACACTCCCAATTCAACAATAAAATGGCTACTTTTTATAAGGCAAAATTTCTATTAATAATAATAAGTAATAAATGGTGGATTTCTAGTCATAAACAACTAAATATTTCCTGTGTGGGCCTCTCATTTAAACCACAGAATGTCGGGCTGGCCCGGTCGCGCATTCTGTAGAGTGCGGCGCTTGGGAGCGCAGCGGCGCTTGCCAAGGGTTCGGATCCCATATAGAGACCGGTCCGCTCACTGGTTGAGGGCGGTGCCGGCGCGACACCGAAGGTTGTGATCCCGTTGCCGGTCACGAAAAAAGACGGAAAAAAAAAAAAAAAACCCACAGAATGTGCCCAGTCTGCATTTATAGCTTGGTTGGTCAAGTATGCATTTCAGTCATTCAGACTGGCCTCATCAGTAAAAAACCAGTATTAGTAAATCATGAATTGCTAAATGTGCAAAAAACCCCCCACAAAAACCAAAGTAGTCCAGTGTTTGATTCCTTTGTATTAAAATGGTATTGTGTCATACTCAATACATAATATGCATACATTTAAACATTTGCAAACTATGTGAAAATGTTTTGCTGTTTTCTCTGTATCCCCTTATCCCTCCGTTAAAAAAAAAAAAAAGCAACAACAAAAAGCACCTTCCAGGGTAAATTACCTGGGGAGTTTGCTCTGAATTACTGCCTTAGGAGGCAGCAACATAAAACAGAAGACCTGAAGTGAGGAGACTCTGGTTATGGGTGTCACCATGATCACCTATGGAAGGGAGCAGGCTAGTCACTTAATGTGAGATGTCGGCAGATGCATGCCTATTTGGGGAGGTCCGGGGGTCTTTGGAAAAGGCGTGCTAAGCAGAACGACACCCACCCGACTTCACCTGCCACACTGTAGTGCCCCCACTTTCATTTCCCTGCAGCGCTGGCAAATCCTACCAGCTCTGGTCTCACCCTGCTCCTCCCCACCCCACTTCTACCTGTGTGTCTTCAGCTCTTTTTCTCCCTTTCAGCTTCACTCCTGCAGAAATCCTGACAACTTAAAGGAGCCCCCTAGGAGGCTCAGTTTCCTTGTCAGTGAAATGGGATAATTGATAATCTCTGCCTACTTCATGGAGTGATTATAAGGGTCAAAAGAGATGTATGCTAAAGCATTTTGTTAACAGTCAGGTGTCATAAATCATTCACTGGTCTATTTCTCAGCTAAAGCAGTTTCTATGCATATTTTAGTTACCCCGTGAACAATTCTTTGTCAAATAGCAAATGTAAATGCTGCTGTGTTTTCCTTCTTGGATTATGGTGGCTTCTTTGCAACTTTATGATGTAGGCTGAATCTTTAAGTACTCCTTTGGCTCATATCTCTTCCCCTGAATACCCGTGCGAGATCATAATCCATAAAACAGAAAGGCAGTAACTCCTTTTAATTGCCAGGAGTTCATCATTTGCTAAGTTCTAAATGCAGTCACTTAAGCACTCGCCTTGAAAAGCCTGTCTCCATTTATTCTGCAGAGCCGAGACTGTGTGAAGCTGGGCCCTCCTGCCGAAGGAGAAGTCGTCCAAGTCAAGTGGCCTGATGGCAAACTCTATGGGGCAAAGTACTTTGGATCAAATGTTGCCCACATGTACCAGGTGGGTGCTGCCTTCTCAGTGATGCTTGCTGGGCATGACAAGCCAGAGTGAGATGATAGATTGAGTGTGCTGCTGACTGTAAGCCACGTGAATTTGGGGCACCTTTTATTTTATGAAGGAAGCAAAGATTCACTGTGTGATGACCCAGGTTGAAGCTCTGGAGTTTTATTGCCAAGCTAGACACTGGAAGAGTCTAACAATATTTGATGAATGGTTTAATTGCAAGGAACATGGTTCAGCCAAAAACAGATAAGCTCTTGGATAGTAGGTTTCTTTCCTGGGTTTCCATTATATGTGGAGAGACTGATTGGTTGATTCATCCCACCTTAAGCTAAGACGGTGATGGCTGTTCAACCAGCATCCCCTGAATTAATGGCTTTTGCCTGAGAGACATACCCCACCGGGCGTCTCAGAAAACCTAAACCAATGGTGCATTGGCACAGGTGTGGATACCTAATGTCACAAGGAAGCTGGTGGTTATCATCCACCCAAGTTTAAAGGAAAACTTGTTTAATGGAAAGTACAGCTATCAGTTCTGTTCACCAGGGAACTCTACTTAGTATTAGAGAGTATGTATACGGTTAAAAAATGAAATTATTTTATTCCTACCAGAAATGAGAATGAGTTAAGCTCTAATAAGGGAAACAACATGGATAGCAATGTGCATTTATATTCCTTCAGAAAGGCTTTAAAAAGAGACAAATTTATTAGAACCCATACATTGTAATATTTTCAGTAACACTGACAGAAATCAACGTTCTCAGGCTAAACGATATAGAGTAAAAACAGGAAGATTGAAGTAAACAGAGAAAAAGCAAGAATGTTCAGTCCTGTTGAAAAACCGTTTGGGAATGATAAGACTGTCAATTTCAGCAGAGAAATAGTTCAAAGACTGATAAGGAGCAAGGGCTTAAATGGAAGAGAACATTGTAGGACACTGCATCAGGAACTGGAGCACAGTGTAACTAAAGGTGTTCGAAAAAGTTTGAAAAACTTAGGAGAGAACATTTTTCATGGCTTAGAAAAATCCAGGGGGGATGGGGAAGGGAGGACATTATGAGTATACATTGTGTGTCTGTGTATAAAGGCCATTTTCCCCTTTGCATATGGTATTGGTAACAGTGTTAAGTTACAGATTCAGATTATTTATAAGAGGGTTGGTGCTGGAGCTTCTTTGCATGAGAATGTCCAAAATTAGGCAAAAATTGCAAGACAGTTTGATAATACTGGAGACTCCTGGAAAAGGGGCATTATTACATCATTTAAAAGAAACTAATTACATTTAGTTAAATATTAAATGTTAAAGTGAAGCTTCTTACATGCAAGCGAAGCTATTTGCTACATGAAAGTACCACATAATGAGGCCATGTTGAAATTCAGGCTAATTAGTAATCAGTGTGTTAACTTTGATCAAATTTATGATGTCCTATCAACATAAAACTATGGGAATATTTATAGACTCAATGAAAAAGTTAAGACTAATATTAAAATTGTCTTTCAAGCACAAGTAGTTTAAAGTTTCGCATTAAACCAAGTGGCCCTTTGAGGTCATTTAGTGTTTTGTGTCCAATTATTCAACTTCACCATTGAATAAGCAAAGACATTTATAAAATAGATATAACGTAAGTACCTACTGCACAGTGCTAAATATGCTAAGTATATGCATTTTTTGACCCTTACAGTAGTTCTACATAATGGATATCACTGACTCCTATTTTGTAAGTGAGGGAAAAAGACTTAGTGAACAAATTTTTAATAATTTGTTTCAGGGCATACAGACGGTAAAGAGAAGGGTCAGAATTTACTCTCAGCTCTGTCCCAACTCGGGTGAACAGCCATCCCTACTTTCCTGGGACTGTCCTTGATTTTAGTATTGAAAGTACTGCATCTGGGAGACCCCTGAGTCTCAAACTATGATGGTTGGTTACCCTGGTCTTAGCATACCATACTCCCGTTTAGTTTTATATAACTTCCTTTTTCTCTTTTAGAATTTTCAAATGATGGGGCTGGCCCGTGGCTCACTTGGGAGAGTATGGTGCTGATAATACCAAGGCCACAGGTTCGGATCCCATATAGGGATGGCTGGTTCGCTCACTGGGTGAGCATGGTGCTGACAACACCAAATCAAGGGTTAATATCCCCATACCGGTCATCTTTTTAAAAAAAAATTTTTTTTTTCCAAATGATCTAAAACAAAAGAAAGTAGGCACAGGTGGTTCTAGCTGTGCTATCAGATTGCTTAAATGAGATGACATCTTGGCTTAATTAAATATTAAGGAAACCTTTCTGCTAAAGCCAGTCCAAGAGGAAAAAACCCTTCCCATCCTCAGCCTTCGGGGAAGTGACAGGGAGAGTTTTCCTGTGACTGAGACTTAATTCCACCCTATTGTTTAGCTTAGTCAAATATTAGCAATAGATGGATAAGAAGTAGTTTAATTATACAGTCATGCATCGCTTAATGATGTGGGTATGTTCTGCGAAATGCATCATTAGGCGATTTCGTTGTTGAGCAAACATCATAGCGTGATGATGGTGTAAAACCTGGATGGTGTAGCCTACTGCCCACCTCCAGCTCCCTTATAATCTTAGGTGACCATTCTCATATATACGGTCCATTGACCAAAACTTTGTTGTGCAGCACGTGACTGTACAGTCTATCATTATTTTAATATTTTTTTCAAACTTCAGATTTTTTTTGTTAACATAGCACAGCTGCATGGTTTAACTTAGCTTCTGACTATAAGTACAAGCATATTTTTATTTCTTAACAGTAAAAAATTCAGACAAATAGAGAAGATAGGGATTTCCAAAATATCATAAGTGGTTAAGAATTAGAGCATATTAGGTATTCTGCCTGTTTATATCCCTTTTGTTTTCTCCTCAAAGAGTTCATTTTGGATTAAACCTCTACCCACATGCTCTAGGTTTCTATTAGCCAGTGTCCTTTACCTTTTCTCTGACAAATCTCCTAAAAAGTTGGAAAAATTGGTTATGAATTATTTGCTGCCATTTGGTTAGCATGAGAAAAAGTTTTAAACATTTTCATTTTCCATGATAATGTGTTTTCACAAGTTGATGGGGTTCATATGTTATGAAGTTGAGAAACTGGAATTTTCCTAGTTCATTTGATTGAATTTGACAAAAGTCAGTTTTGAAAGTTAAAACTCTATAAGAACTTAAGAAATTATTTTATCTGGATGGATTATTATACAAGAGTAAATATATCATCTTTTCTTTCACAAAGAAGAAAAATTCTCCCTGTTACGTTGTCAGAGCCTCTAAAACCAAATGGTGCTAACAGGCCTGGTCCGCCTTAATGCTGAAGTTGCCACAGTCTCATATTGTAAGAAATCATTTGATCAGCAGCTATTTCTTTGTTTTTAACCTAGGGGATAAAGTTTTCATATCACATATGCCAGGATACACATTTTCAAAAATTTTGGCCTGTTTTAAAATGTATTTTCTTCTTAGTTTGATAAGGGAAAGCGCTTTTCTAACTTCCTTGGGTGTTGGCTGGTTCTCTTCTTTGTACTACTTGAGTCCATTTTATCTTTTTTTTATGTAGTTAATTGGAACGCTTAAAAAATGATTGATGCTTTCTTTTTATATGTATCATGATGTCTTATTTTGCACTAGGTTGAATTTGAAGATGGATCCCAGATAGCAATGAAGAGAGAGGACATCTACACCTTAGATGAAGAGTTACCCAAGAGAGTGAAAGCTCGTTTTGTAAGTGCCAGCAAATGCCACCTGGGGGCTGGCAAATGCCACCTGGGGACCACCAAGTGAATTTTTGTCCTCTCTCTGTATTTCCCAAGCTCAGCAGGAAATATACTTGGACCTTTGGATTAATTTTAAAGAAAGCCAGTACAACTTTTCCCTTACTGAAACCTACCGGTAAACCTCAAATTTGTCCAAAACAGGGAAACTCATGCACATGCCTTGTTTTTCTTCTACTGAAGTCAAATGACACTTTTTTGCATTAACATTTATTGGCACTCAAAAATAATTATTGAATATGTGCTCTGTGCAAAGCACTAGGAGCATGCCAAGATAGCATCAAGGCATTTGTGATCTTGTTAGTAGAAGCAGCATTCAAAGAAAGTGTTTAGTAGTAGATTAAAGGGGATCGGCATGAGTGAATGCCTTAGTCTCCTGCAGTCTTGTCATATACTGGCTAACTTCTGTCTCTGAAGATCACTGATGTTGGTGTCAGCTCATAATTAAACTAAGCTGTCACTTTCACAGTAAAGGAGATAAACAAAGCCCAAATACTAATTGTGGGGATACTAACGCAGTTTTTTTTTTTTTTTTTTTTGGTCCTTTTTGAGACCGGCTGCACCGCGCTCAGCCAGTGAGCGCTGTGAGCGCACCGGTCATCCCTATATAGGATCCGAACCCGTGGCGGGAGCGGGGCTGCGCTCCCAGCGTTGCACTCTCCCGAGTGTGCCACAGGCTTGGCCCCAGTTTTTTAAGAAAGAAAATATTTGTTTGAAGCCCTGTACATATCATTAAAAGATAAATTAACATGGACACATAATCAAAATTTAAGTTGTTAAAATTCACAATAATTTAGGCTTTGCATTATTGTATCATAAAGTATTTAGTGGACCCTGAAATGAAGTCAGTGTTACTCATTTAGAATTATATCCACTGCATCTGCGATATGATAACTCCTGAACGGAAATTTGGATGGATGGGATTTTTCTGACTAATCTGAAACTTTTGTTTTTTTGTATAAATGAAACTCTTAGTTGTCAGTGCATGCTTATGATATACTTTTCTGCAGTGATAGAATTATTATATATTATTCTGTTATTTTGGGAAAACCAGGGGGTTCCTCAGATGTTCAGTTGTATATCCATCTCCTTTCCTGTCACGTGGGATCCTGACAGCAGGGTAACTATCGTCAGCTGTGAACTCTGCTGCATTCATCAGAGGACAGTCCTTCAAAGTGAAATAATCAGGAGAAGAGTGATAGTAGCAGTACTGCCACCCACCTAATGAGAAATGTGGCTTCTGGGGGACCCAGACACCTGCAAATAGATTAACCACCAGATAATAACTGCAAGAAAGAGAAAATTAAATATTCCTATTGTAAAGACATCGGCTAAATCTTAACAAAGGTCTAAAAATACCTAGGTAACTTGTCAGTGTTCCAAGATCTTGAAATCTCCTGAGCAACGCTTTCCCTTTCAGGATGTTAGAGGTGGCTGCCTCTCATTCTGTATTCTTGTCTTCCATGACTCTCCTCCAATCCCCTTCTTTTCCTTTTTTAAATCTAGAGATTTAGAGGATGGGGAATGGAGTGTAGCCTTCTGGAAGTCTCTTAGGTCTTTGGTTTTGCTAAGCATCCTACCAGCTGAATCTTTAGATTTCTAATACCATTTCTTTTTTTTTTTTTGTGACTGGTAAGGGGATCATAACCCTTGCCTTGGTGTCGCCCTCACCGCGCTCAGCCAGTGAGCGCACTGGCCATCCATATATAGGATCTGAACCCGTGGCCACGGCGCTCCCAGCGCCACACTCTCCCGAGTGAGCCACAGGGTCAGCCCCCAATACCATTTCTTAATCACAGAAGAAAGCTCGTTTCTTTCTACTCTGATCACAGTCTCTTTGTTCCACCTTAGATTTGGCTCTGATACCAGGATGTCTTCCTGTGGGGCTTTATCTGAACACAGCTCCTGAGTTTACTAAGTTTACTGAACAAGCACACCAATGTTCAACTTTTTTTGGTTTCGTTTTAATTCTTAGATAAAATTTTTGAGTTAAAAAAAAAAAAGGCAATGAAAAATTATAAATCACATACATGCAGCCTGTTGTGCCAAAAAGCTGAGCCTAGTAGAAAATACCTTTGGGAACAAAGGCCTCCCGGTCACTAAATCCTGTTGGCCTCCTCTGTTGTTATTGAATCGAAGCTCTCTGTGCTCCTGTTAGGCTAACTAACAGCTTCGTAGATAACCCTCCGGGCCTTGGTTAGTCTGTCCGTGACTGCTGTTTGTTTTCCAGTTGGTAAAACAAATCTAATTGGAAAACTCATTGATGGAAGATATTTCATGGTGTAGAAATCTTTTTTGTTTTTTAAGGAGGTGGGTTAGCAGCCCTCGTCATAGGCCTTCATGTTTTGATGGCTTCGGCTCACCCGGACACACGCTGACTGGGGAGAAATTTTTCAAAAGCGTCAGCAGTCCACCCCGGTGATTGTGCTGGATTCTTTTCCCCTCACTTCAGAAACAGCCCCATTACCTTTTATTGTCTCACAGAATAACCATAGCAACGGTGCATAATTAGCTAGAGCTCCTGGTAAATCGGTTTTATTATTGTATTTAAGAGGCCGACTTTTGCTGTTCCTGCGCAGTTGGCAACGCTTTCTTAGATGTTTTATTTTCTCCTTTCCTTTGATAACTTTTGCACTTATAAAAGTGAAAAATTACTCTGAGGAAGTGTTTTGCCAAGAATGGATGAAACAAATATATTTCCTCCTAATGGCAGAGGGTACCCAACTGACCCATAATCTCTGAGTTTTCTTCCCAAGTGAAACTAGGTAGTGTCTGGGGGAACCCACAAAGGTAGCCTTCTCCCTGGATAACTATCTCATGAACTGGCAGGGAACATGCACAGCTTTACACTGGGTCCATTTTTAGTTTTCAGGCTTCTTTGTAGCTATTCTCTTGAATCTTTCTTCTTCATGATGGACCATGTATTTTCAAATCCTAAAATCTAATCTTTGCCTCTGTTGCCAACCTGGGGAGGTGGTGTCGGTGACAAAGTGAGGTATACTGTGCGTTGGTGTCATCAGTAGTCACCCGCCTTAGTGAAAACCAGTTGGGAATGCTAGGAGGCCAAACATTAGGATGTTAGGGAGCCAAAATAGTGCTTTACTGTCACAGATAAAGCCCACATGCCTTCATCCAACAAACACTGAACAGTGACCGAGTGTTGGGCCCATTGCTTGGTGTTGGGAACACAAATAAAATTGGGTTCATAGTCATTAGTATCCTCCTCTTCGTGGCGTTTCCCCAATAGGAAGAAACTTACCTGCCCCTTATGTCTGCCACTGTCCCCGTTCTGCTGCGTTGATGTGTGAAAGGTTATAGGAACCCAGAAGAAGGGCCCTCAAGTTTGTCCTTGGCAGAGAAGATAGAATATCCTCCACAGAAAGGAAATAGTGTGTCCAAAGACAGAGAAGCTCGAGGCCCCGAGCCAGTAAAATGTGGCCAGGAACTGCAAATAATTTAGTGTGACCAGAACATGGGGTAAGATTATGTGAAGTCACGTAGGTCCGGCCTAGGAAGCGTGCGTGTGTCTTAAAGGCAGGGGGGCTACTGAAAGATCATAAGCAGGGAGTGTAGTCAGAGAGTTTTTCTCGTAGTGGTTCTGGGGGAAGTAGATTGGGGCGCAGCGTTTGTGGCAGTGGTTTGGGAGAGGAAGAGTGTGAGGGCTGCACCGTGGGGTCAGAGGGATGAAGAGGAAAGGACAGAGGGCTTCACTGCATGTGTCGGGGGGTCTCAGGCAGGGTGGGGACAAAGCCGACTTTTGGGTTTCTGACCAGTGTAACTGGTGGATGGGAAGGGGGTGCCGTCAGGGAACATAGGAAGGGCAGCTGTGAGGAAGGAGACTTAGGGTTCAGTTAGGGACAGCCCCATGTGAAGTGCCTCTGAGACCAACACTGAGATGCCTGCGGTGCAGGTGGACACGCAGGCCCGAGCGCAGGAGGTCTGAACTGCAGGGAGAAGCCCGAGCATCCTGGGAGTAGATGCAGGCTTTGAAGCCTCGCGTGGGCACGAAGGCCTGAGGTGCATGTGCAGAGAGGAGGCCACATCCAAGGCCCGGGATGTCCAAATTGAGCATACGATTAAGAAAGGGAACCCCTGAGACATTAAACATGAGCAGCCAGAGGAGGGAGGGGGGGCTGCCAAATGACAGAGAAGGCTTCAAGCAGTAGTTAGGTGACAAAATAGTCAAGTCAGTTTAGGATAGAAAAGTGTCATAGGAATTAGCAACTAGGACTTCAGCAAAAACAGTTTCAGAGAAGGGGGTGGGGGCAGAGAGCCAAAGGTAAATAGGACTAAGGGTGAATTAGAGGTGACTTGACAAATTTGACAAAAATCACGTTGGGCAGGAGCTAGAGGGAAGATGGAGAGTGAAGGAGATTTAAAATAAGAAGACTTTAATTCTGCTTTTGTTTGGGGAGGGTCCCTGGGAGTGCAAATGGGGGAATAGTTTGGAGATAGTGGAGAAAGTGGCGCTAGATGGAGCCCCTCTGCACACAGGACAGAAGCAGGTGGGGACTGCGAGGGAGAATCCACAGCCTGGGGTTGGTTGGGGGTGGGGGCTTCTACGCTACCCCCCTGACTGAGTCGGCTCTTTGTCCAGTCTTGTGATGGTCGAGTGTCATGCCCTTCTGCAGTGTAACACTGGCTGCTTTTAGTCCACAGCCTCTGATATGCGGTTTGAAGACACATTTTATGGCGCCCACATAATCCAAGGGGAGCGGAAGAGACAAAGAGTGCTGAGCTCCAGGTTTAAGAATGAATATGTGGATGACCCTGTGTACCGCACTTTTTTGAAGAGCTCTTTCCAGAAGAAGTGTCAGAAGAGACAGTAGTCTCCATACACCACTGCAGGCCACAGAGCAGCTTGGGCCAGAAGAGGGAAGATGAAGGGACAGCTCTCGGGCTCTGCCATGTGTTTCGCTGGGGTACGTCACAGGGTGTGTCTCTGACAGCGGTAAATCAGGCTTCCAGAGTGTGGCCACCAAAAATACAAAACACACATGTTATTAATTGAACACAGCAAACTGAAGTCATCCTCTAGTCTTGCTTCACTTGTGAGCAATTGTCTTCTGTGATCCCAAAGACTTTTTCTAAGGAAAAGGAAATAATAGTGAATCACACACTAGAAAAAGCCACTGCCAGAGAGGAGGTGGGTCCCCACGTATGGCTTCGGCCCTTTGTCAGGAAACACATGGAGACTTCTCCCCCAGCTTCAGCAGGCGACAGCCTCCTTACCAGGTGGGAGGGTGATAATTTATGTATTTTCCACAGTCAGGGAAGGACTCTCACTTATTTGTTTTAAATGGCAGTTTTTATAAAACATTTCTAAAACACAAATGGCATGTATGGTAATGAGATTTACCCCGTGTGTTATCTGTATTTCCCGTACAGAACTTTTACATTTTTTTATATTCCTATTACTTTTGATTGTGTCTGATGAGAACTGAGTTGTTGGCCTTTGTGAAATGAAATTTTTGGCTCTTGAAGAATTCTTACGAATTGTACGTTAATTTTATATATTTAAAGAGGGAGATCTGGGGCTGTTATTTTTAAATACTTCTTTTTCATAATACTCTGAGTAGATATTTATAAAAATATGTTTCTTTCATTATGTGTTTGTAAAATTAGAGTTTAAATAAATATGCTTTGATGCATAGTTTTGAACTAATGTAACATGATTTTTCTTTTTTAAAACAGCCTGAAAATGTACTAGTGTTTGAAAATAAAGATTTCCATTTTCTCCGATCCTGTCTTCTAACTTACTTATTTGTCTGGGTTTAAACCGATAGAAAAACAAGTTTTATTGGGGAGCTAGCTATCAAGATCTACTGTGGCCCAGGGCTTTCAGACCTTTCTTTTCTCACTGACTTTTTGCATAGCTGTGGGCACATTATGACCGAATCACTGGACATAAAGGCTTATCTGCCTGTCCACATGGCCAGCTGGAATGTTGTCAACTCCTTCTTCTAGACTTTGAATAAATGTGAGACCCTTGAGTCTGGAGCACTTTTCCTCCCAGATTTCCTGGTCCCCCATTATCATGAGAAGGGACTTAGAGATCCTCCAGTTCCTTCCTTCAGGGAAAGGGATGGCCCAAGGGCATACAGTCCTTAGTGCATGTCTCAGTTAACTAGGGTCACAATTATGCTGCATAACAGACAACCACAAAATCGTAGTCCCCTGTGGCAAGAAGCATTTATTTTGCTGAGGGGTCTGAAAGTTGGCTGATCTAGGCTCAGCTTGGCTGGGTAGCTGTGCTAACCTTGGCTTGGGCTAGCTCTCACATCTGCTCCTGTGTCTCCTGTCATCGTAGTGGACCCAGAGGGCTAGCCCAGGATTGTTCTCATGTCAATGGCAGAGGCAGTAGAGCAAGCGAGCCCAGACAGGTAAGCACATTTCAGTCCTCTGTGGGCTGTTGGTTAACATCCCATGGGCAAAAGCCCCGAGTCAGGGATAGGGAGGGCATTTCAGAGTTTCATGGCGAAGGGTGCAGAGGTATCCTGTTACTGGGCAGAATGAAGAACTAAAGCAGTAATGACAGCACCAGCTGAAACTCACTCTCTAGACAGCTCACTGGCTGGGAGTTCATTTTCCAGAGTGCCTCATGGCTGAACTCTGAGCTGGGGTGGAGCCTGCCAGCCTTATTCTCTATACAGGGACCAAGCATTCCACATTCTCTACCAGTGCAGTCATACGTATATTCTATCAAGTAATCAAGCCTGAATTCTCTGTCTCTGGTTTTTGAATGGAACTGACTTGCTCTTTCCATGATATGCCAGAAAAGTAGGACTGTGTAAGGCATTAAGAGGAATTAATCTAAATAGGATCATTCATTCTGTACAAGTTTGCCTGTCAGCAAGATTTCTGATTGGTTGCCACAGGGAGAAAACTTGCACATTCCTATGTGATCTCAAATACAGCTGTTTTTTATGGTCTCACTTAACTAATGTTCCTATAACCAAGTACAGCTGTATATGGCCTTAGCAAAATAGTGCAGGCCACAAATGCACCCTGGCTATTGAGAAAGGCACCTTTGTTTCACTGCATTCTGCATAAAGTGGTTGTTAGCTCTATGAGCAGACAGACCATTAAAGCTTTTTAACTTCCTGTATGACATTTCAATTGTAATTGTAATTTCTTTGCATTATACTAGCTGCGTTTTTAGTGCTTGTGTATAGCATGAAATCAGTTAAAGTCCTTCTAATATTTAAAAAAATTGCTTATCTGTGACAATTCAAATTTAATACTAATTGCAGTCCCTTTCTCTGGAGGTTATGGGATTAGTAAAAAGTGCCTGGTAATATTTCACAACATTTTAATTCCTTTATGGGTGTTTGAAATGAGAGCAATGTGATCCTTGTCAGTTTACTTTTGTTAAGAGACTTTTTTTCTTGTCCAACTAGAGAGAAATTGAGAAGCATCCAGTGACATATCACATGGCTTCTGAGAATATAACTTGCTGCTGGGTTATAGTATATGAAAATGTGAGGACTTAGAATACAAAACTATGTAGGAGTGAATGGGTCTGCCACATTTCCCTGTACCCGTCCAGTGTGAAACATGGCCATTCATGAACATGTTACTGTAAATGCCCTGGAGATCTTATGAATAATCATTGGGGTAGTATCTGCAGCAAGATAACATTGTGCTTTATTTTTGCCTTTAAGTAAAAGGGATCTGAAATGAAACAATCTTCATTTCAGATATAAATCAGCCCCATAAACTTGAAGCTAGCTAGAGATCCTGAGGCATTCTCATTACCTGAAGTAATTGGTTGGTTGCAAGACTCAGTTATACTACAGTCTTTCTGAGAATTCAGATGTGCAGTCTTCCAAAGTGTTCCCCATTCCCTCGCACAGCATGTTGTAGGGACGTACAGCTCTGACCAGCGGGGAGAATGATTTCTGGCCCCTGAGGAGGCCTGAACTCTCCAGCAAGTGGCTGATGACTGAGAAACCCCAGGCTCCATACTTTGAAGGTGTGGGTCTCCTTGAGGAAATGGAACTGCATCAGGAGCAGCTGATATTAATGATGTATTGAACATCTCTTGTGTGCATTCAGGCTTCCTAGTGGTGTTTATCTTATTTAGCCTCCCCAATAAATCAGCAAAGTATCATTTCCTCTTTTATGGAGTGACACTAAGGCTCAGAGAGGTTAAGTGACTTTAGATCACTCAACCTTCTCAAAGCATGAAGAAAAAAAAGATCGTAAGTCTATCCCAAACAAAAGAAATTGGATAAGTAAGTCTGAAGTTCAAAAGTGAGCGCTAGAGATATAAATATGGAAGGTATCATCTTTATTGGTAGATGTTAAAGAATACAAGCAAATTACCTTCTGCCAAAGGAAAAAACAATAGCAAGAGAAAGCAGATCCAGTGGTTGCCAGGGACTGAAGGTGGGGGAGAGGATTCGACCACAAAGGGGTATGAAGGAACTTTTTGGGGGTGATGAAAATATTCTTTGTCTTGATTGTGATGGTAACAGTGCAAACAGGTATATGTTTGTAAAAATGCATAGAGCTCAACGCTAAAGTGGGTGAACTTTACTATATGCAAATTACACTTCAATAAACATGACTTTTTTAAAAAGTAAGTAAAAATCTAGGAGAGTGGAGGGCAGGCCACTTGGGAAGAGAGCACGTCACATGAAAGAAGCAAGCAGAGATCAAAACCTTGGGAGGGGGAGTTGGGTAGGGAGAGAGCCTGTGAATGCGTGCTGAAAGGGCAGTGAGACGGGAGTCCCAGGGTGCTGTGGTGTCATGGACATCGAGGGAAGAGTGTGTCAGAAGGGAGGACTGGTCAACAGGAAGAAAATGCTGTAGAGTCCAAGTAATATCAGTACCTGTCAATTTGGAGGACAGTGGTGACCCTGGTGAGGGCATTTCAAGTGGTTTTAGATGAGAAATCTACTATCCACCAAATATGTTCCCCTGTTAGTAATGCCTTGTTTCTCTATCTGCTTTTAAGATTTTCTTCTTTGTACCTAGTTTTTAGAAGTTTGATGACGTATTTTGGCTTTGATTTCTTTGGGTTTATCCTGTTTGGGGTTTGTTTTGCCCTTTCATCAAATTTGGGAAATTCAGCCAACATTTCAGGGTAAAGGTGGTAGGCAATGATGTGGGCTCCTGGTGATAGTTACTACTCAGCCACAGGGAGCCTGGTCACAGGACTATCCCCGCCTGTCAGAGAGGAGGCACATAGGTCTCTCACCACCTGCTATCACTCTCCCCTCCTTCTGGGGCTTTAATGACACAATGTTGTGTCTTTTGTTGTTGTTCCACAGGTCCCTAGGATCTTTTTTTTTTTTTTTTTTCCCTTTTTGTCTTTCTTCGTGTCCGGCAACGGATCGCAACCCTCAGTGTCGCACCCGTACCGGACCAGGACCAGCAACGGGATCGCAATCCTCGGTGTTGCGCCCGCACCTCGCTCAGCCAGTGAGCGGGAACCGGTCTGTATGTGGGATCAGAACCCTCGGCGGGAGCGCCACCGCGCTCCCAAGTGGTGCACTGTAGCAGTGCGCCACCGGGCCGGCCCCTTAGGATCTTTTAAGTCTATTTTCTCTCTGTTCAGATTGGGTAAATCCTGTTAATCTATTCTCAAGCTTATCCTCTTCTCCAAGATCCTCCTTCCATTTCTTTGTCATCTCCAAACTATTATCAAGCCCACTGAGTTTATAGTTTTGATGATTGTATTTTCCAGTTCTATAATTTCCATTTGGTTCTCTTGTATCTTCTATTTCTTTGAGATTCTCTATCTTTTCATTTGTTTCAAGAGTGTTTGTAATTGCTCATTGAAGCATTTATTTATTTATATTTTTTAATTTTTATTGAATCAAAATGGATACATATTTTTGGGGTTCAACATTGAGATATGTTGATCAAATCAATATTACTAGCATATACATTGTTACAAATCGTTCTTATTCTTTATGCCCCTTGTCTGATCTCTTCCCATCCCCCTCTCCCTCGCCCTCCCCCCTCTAATTACCCTAGATTTTTTCTCTTCCTCTGAAAGGAAAATGGTTACTTTGTTGATTTGTTGCCTAGATGATCTGCCCAATGCTGAGAGGTGCGATCAGGTCCCCCAATATTATCATAGAGCAGATGCTGCTTCTGTCACTCTGAAATGGGCTTTGTGGAGAGAGATATCCTCTTCTTTTCTTTGTTCTCTGCTGGTGACTCTCCTTGTGTCAATGTACTCCAGTGGCTGGCGGAACATCTGCATGGTGGTTGTGGCATCTAACCGCTTTCGTGGCAGCCATGGTTATTATGGTGGCTGTGGTGGGCCACCAACATGGAGGTGATGTTTTTGAAATGCTCCTTAGTGCTGGCAGTTGTGCCAGGTTGTGGGAGGTCCCCTTCTGCATTCCTTGGGTTCCCGGGTGAGCCCCAAGGCACTGGTGGTGTGCCTGGGCTGGAACTAATTTTTTGTCCTTTGCTTCTAAAATGGGGGAACTTCCTGTGGGAACCAGTACTTGAGCTGTGTGGTTGAGATAAATTGCTGCTTTGCTGCTGTTTTGTTAGGGAAGGCATTTTGTGCAGCTCAGGGTTTAATGGTTGACTTTATAGGTACTTCTGGCTCTCCAGAGATGTGGTGCACCTGGGTTGTGTGGAAACTCTGATCTGGGCCTGAGTTTTTGCATCAAACTGCACCCCATGCAATTCTGTATTCCTGACCAGTCTCCTCTGAATGGTCCTGTGCTGACTGGGGGGGCAGATCAGCTGTCCTTGCTGTGTCCCATTGTTCT